TTTTATTCAATACTTCTAGTTTAATAATAAAAGTCACCAACTGATCAAGTTTGTCAAATTTGATTTTGCTTAGTTTTGATAATTCAAAAATTTTTTTGGTAAAATTTAGTCATCAATTCAGAACAAACTGAACTTCATCAGAAAATTTTCAGAAACATATGAAATTCAGACATCATTTATTCCTTGTAAGGCACATTTTAGTAGATAGCTTCACTTGTTTTGTACCCTTATTTTAGACTAACTTACATACCAAATTGGGGGGGTGCGTGGCCTACTGCCGTCGAGTATGGTCGCATGCTAATTGAGTTCCAGGTACAGCAGGCAAATAAACTACCTGGAAGCGGTAAATTCACGACGATGGGGAACCCCAAACGCTCCCAAAACACCCATGCAAGTACGGGGAAGACCCCAGCAGGGAAATCAGGCTCCGTCTCAAATGCTGCATCTGGAGGGTCTGGGGAAAATAGAGGCCTGTCTTTGGGGCACATCCTAACAGTATCTCAAAAGGGGATAGGCCATGTCTAGAATTGGGTCTGAATCACATAGAAAAGAGTGCTAAGGGAAGGCATTCAGTCCAGGGCTTCACTGTGTCTTGCATGGCTTTTGCAATCATGTTCTTTAAGGTGCCATTTGGCCTTTCTACTTTCCCACTACTCTGGGGGTTAATAGGGGGTGTGGAAGGCCTGACTGATCCCTAAGGCTTTTATAATTTCTTGCATTATTTCCCCAGTGAAATGGCTACCTCTGTCACTTTCAATCACTTCAGGTACTCCATATCTACATACCAATTCCTTCAGAAGCTTACTTGCTGTGACCTTCTTTGTGGCTTTTGACACTGGGTAGGCCTCAGGCCAACCTGAAAAGAGATCATACACTCCTACCTTAGGCAGTTGAATATAGTCTATCGGCAGTCTTTGAAGCGGGTAAAGTGGCCTTGGTGTGCTTACTTGGTGTTTTGACAGCCTGTCCTGGATTGTTTCTAGCACAAATCATGCAAGCTTGGATGTGTTTAGCTGCTACAACAGTAAATCCGGGTGCTACCCAATGGGTATTTACTATGCTGTTCATGTGCATCTTGGATAGATGTGTAGGTCCATGGGCAATCTGGGCCATCATGGGGTACAATACTTATGGCAAACATAGTCTTTTACCTTTCTTCCACATTCTGTCATTATCAGGTTCTGCATATTGTTTCCTCCAGAGGTCATGTTCTTCCTTGCTTGCCTGTCTTTGTAAGCTCAACAGTAAATTGTAGTCAATGGCGTCATCTGTAAGAACAACTTGTAGGAAGGTATTACCTGTAGAGGCATGAACTTGAATTGCTGCTTGCTTGGCTGCTTTGTGGTTTCCTCTTGATCTTCACGTGAGCTGCCACCTTGATGATGCCTACTTGAGTGGGTAGCAGGATAGCGTCCATAAGTGCCCTCACGGCTTCAGAGTTCTTGATTGGAGATCCTGCTGAGGTGAAAAAATCACAGGCCCGCCATATAGGGCCAAAATCATGGGCTTTACCGAAAGCATAGCGAGAGTCTGTATAAATATTAGCAGTCTTACCAGAAGCCATTTTACACACTTCAGCGAGTGACTTCAGCTCTGCCTCCTGTGCAGAGCAGTGAGGAGCAAGTGGTTCAGCTTTTATTACCTCATGTGCAGAGACTAAAGCATATCCAGTGTGGAAATTACCATTCTCATCAGCATATCTGGAACCATCTACAAAAAAACTCAAAATCTGCATTAGATAATGGAGAATCAATTACATGCAAAAAAGCTGTTGTTTCTTGTGCCATTAGTGCTGCACAATCATGGGGTACCTGGGCATCAGCTAACTCATCTGGTGAATGTGAATTTACAAAAAGATCAGAACAACAAGTACCATTCCCACCATCTCCACTCCCCTCTTTTAAATCCAGGGGGAGAAATGTAGATGGATTTAACACCATACACCTTTTCAGAGTAACATTAGGTGGCATAAGCAAAGCACATTGCTTTCTGAGATGCCTTGCAGTATGTATGTGTTTTGGTTGAACTAATGACAGTATGCTATTGATGTCATGCGGTGTGTGTATATGGTCACTGGGTTATCTAAGACAATATCAGTGGCTTTGTCCAGGAGGGCAGTAACAGCCACACTGCCCTAACACATGAAGGGGCACCCCTGGCAACAGGGTCCAAACTGGTGGAGTAGTACGCTATTGGTCATTGTTTACCATCATGGTCCTGTGTAAGGACAGATGTAGCATTTTCTGCTGCATGGGTTAATTTAAAGGGTTTGTTTTTGTTGGCGAGACACTCATACTGGGGCTGCATGTAGATTGCTGTAGAAGCCAAGGTCAGCAGCATGAATCGTAGCTGGGCTAGGCTGCGGGGGGGGGGAGGGGGTGTAATAGTTTGAACTGCAGTCTGCCTCTGCCAAGAATTTCAGTAAGGAAAGAGTGTTTACAATACAAGTCTCCATATTATCGCAACATAGGATTATATGTGTAAATGCAAATAAATACTGACTGTCGAGATCCAAGGGGACACTGAAAAATGCAATTTCCAAGTCAATAACAGTAAATACCTTAGAGGAAGGTGGTATCTATTCCAACAAGGTGTGTGGGTTGGGAACATTAGGGGAAATGAGTTCAGTTACAGCATTAATTGTCCTCAAATCATGTACCATACGGTAGACCACAGGTTTCCCTTTCTCTTGCTTTTTCTTAATTGGGTACAATGGTGTGTTACAAGGGAAGGTGGTCTGGACAATTACCCCTGCCTGCAGAAACTCTTGCACAGATTGGGAAATAGCATCTTCCTGTGCTGGGCTTAGGGGGTATTGTTTTTGATAGGGAGGTTTGGGTCCGGGCAGGAGATTCACTTTGACTGCGGGCACAGAGTCTGCCTGTAGCCCATAAGGAATCAGGTATTGAGGACAAGTCAATGGTAAGTTCTGGCACATGGCTGGGCATAGTGAGAGTTGCCAGAACATTTGAAAGAGATATCATTTGTTTGTCCTCCAAAGGCACAGACTATGTTACTTGTAGTTACTTTTGTTACTACAGTGGGGCTATACTGGATATTTGCACTAAGACAGTATATCACTGCCTAGAAGATTAGCAGGGGCATCAGTATATTTAGCAATTATTCTAGCCCAAATGGGGCCAGCTTTTAGGGCAACAATCTGTTTTAAATCCATCCAAGTACACTGGTAAGTAGCTTGAATGGTGGATAGAGACTGGAATAGAGCTAAGGGTGCCCCCTGGTGTTGAGCACCAGCGTTTGTGCAGCCACATACCAGAACCCTGATTCAGCTTATGCGGATCCCAGAAACTAGGAGCAGGTAATTAAGCAGACCTCCCAGGAGCTGAATAGGGAGGCTCTGCAGCAGGGATGTATCCAGTACTGAAGCAAGACAAAAATAGGAGAGCAAGGCAAGACTAGAAATAGACACCATACATGAAAATAAGACAAAACTAGGAGAACCCAGAACCAGAGCAGGACAGAAAGCAGAACCTAGAACATGTACACAAGACATGAGGAAAACAAGAACATAACATGGGCATGACTGGACAGGACTGTACATGGACTGGGATTACAAGACAAAGTAAAACAAGACAAGAGATACAAGGTAAAACAAGAGGAAACATAGCTAAGCACTAATTATGAAAAGTATGGGGATTTAGTCACATTATATGATCATACATTGCACAAGCCTGCCAACAACGCCAATGTACCCCATATCTGGCAGGTCCGACACTGCCTAATGTATGCTAAAACAACCACACTATACCACAATAGCACTTACCTGCAAGAAAGGGCAGAGAAATAAAACACTGCTGCAGGTCCAAGCTGAAACAAAAGGAAAGTGGAAAACAAACGGGTGTGGCAACATAAAACAAACATTTAAGTTAATCCAAGAGACTGGGAAATCCAGGGACAGAATCTAAGAATTAACCCAGAAACCCAGCTACAAAGAAAACCAGACATAGACCAGAAAACCAGAAAAACCAAGCAAGGACAGCAAAAAGAGTACTGGATACCAGAAGCCATTGCCAGAATGATCCGCAGCAAGGAACAGGATGTGACAGTATTATTGCTAGTTGTTCTCTGGGAAGAATATAAGCCCTGGGCACTATATGGAATGCTTCACGAATTTGGGTATCATCCTTGCGCAGGGGCCATGCTAATCTTCTCTGTATCGTTTCAATTTTAGTATATGTGCTGCCGAAGCGAACTAAAGGTCCCTGGTTCAAACCTGGGTTTCGGCACCGAATTGTTATGGATCCAAATAATGATCTTTGTTATATTCAGAGGAAGCCCAAATTGTTATTACAAGTGCACTTGGAGAAGCGAGAATTAGATACCAGACACCTGTTGGTATTCAAAATAAGCTTCTGACGTTTTATTCATCAGCTGGGTTTTATACATTAAAAAGTAAGTGCTTACGTGCAAATACTCTTAGAACAGTAATAGGAAGGGAGTACAGATAACGGAGGAACGTCATGTACACATAACAAATAAGTTCCAAGGTAAGAAAGAACAAAAAGATTAGAGAAGAGACATCTTAGGTGGGGGCTCTCTGTTACCGAAACTAGACATATATGGTCTTAAGTGTTGTGTTAAGCATCAAGCATTTCCTGAGTCCAAGTTAGCCAATTTTAATATAGGATATCATTATATGACACCTATAAGCTTGAGCCTTGGAATCAAGATAAATTCTATCACAACTATATGGGTACTCTATAGAGTTTTCATCTTCAGATGAATTTACTTTATTGTGGATATTTGTATCAGAGTCGGAGCTTGGAATTACTTATACTAGATCTTCCTTCATTTCTGTAGCGACAGCCTTTGAAATAATAATAATAATTATTATAATTATTATTGCCATTTATATAGTGCCAACAGATTCCATAGCACTTTAAAATTTTATGAGAGCAGGGATTTAACTATAAATAGGACAATTACAAAAAACTTACGAGAACAATAGGTTGAAGAGAACCCTGCTCAATCGAGCTTACATTCTATAGGAGGTGGGGTGTAAAACACATTAGGACAGGAATTAATATTAATATTTACCAATCTGGCATTAGGAGTCTCAGAAGAGGTAGATGCACCTCATTAGAGATAATTCTAAAGCACCAAAAACAATGGAGGAAATTTACAGATTTATCAGGTGTCTATCCCTTTAAATCCTCAATTCCCGTGAGTGAAGCGCTTCAGTGTAAATTTAAATATTGTGAATATATATATGTAGTGCCAGAAAGCACTTACCATCTATACAATGCTCGTATTTCCGTATACATATATAAAGGGAAAAAAACAGATATATACAAATAATAGTGCAATATGTCTAAAGAATCAATTTCAATTATATATGTGAGTTCGAATGTAAATTAACTCACATTTTTTAGAGCCTTTTACAGTGGTAAGGCTCTAAACTTCCAAACGTCTGTGTCTTTTGGGTAGACCACACAACCCCTCTCTCTCAATGATGGACCGTCTGTTGTTCTCCAGAGTATGTTAAGATAAAACAGAGAAAAGCGTCCAAACTAAGTGTAGTATTTAGAATACCAACGTGTATCAATGTGGATAAAAACCAGGAAAAGTGCTCACCTTTTTAAGAGCCTTTTTATAACTGGCTCTAAGTATGTAGGTTCAGTGTCAAATTATAGGGTGACACTATCCCTTTCTTGAATCACTTGTGCAGGATGCAATAGGTATAATATATAGCAAATATGTTTATTATCAGTATTAAAATATACAGACTATATATAAAAACAAAAAAAGGGGTTATATAAAAACATATAAGTAATACTAATGTATTCAGTGGTGTAGCATAAATCCACTTGCAGCCAAAACGCGTTTCACCGAAAATCGGCTTCCTCAGTCAGCTTCAGGACGTCTTCTGTCTTCCATTGCTTTTAAATCTTTCTTTACCCGCCAAAAGTTCCCTTTTTGCCGGTCCGCGGTGATTTGCCGTGATGCGCCCAAACTAGCGTCGCGTCACTTCCGGTTCGATGTTACTACATCTCCCATAGTTCATTGCGTTTATAACTGTCATTTCCGGTTGCGGACCGCTATGGTGATGGGCAATGAAGTCCTTGCTATCGTCGTTTTTCAGTTCATGTTCCAGTTCATAACAGGCTCAAAACAAAGAGCCGAAATGGTGGGAAAAAAAGGATATCAAAAGGGCAAGAAGTATATATCAGTGTGCAATATTTCATATGCGGATTTTAAAACTTAAAGTTAAAAACAATATATACCATATATCTTGTAAACAGTGATATTTCTACACTTAATAAACTTTTCTGTGAATAATTCTTTTTTTAAAAATAATAAAAGTTTTTATGAACTATTATATTCTGGGTTTCACATTGTGCATAATAAACATTTAAAAAAGGGGGTATTCATACTATGTTTCACTTAAAACATTTTTTATAATAAAATGTAAACTTTTTTGCTTTATTCCCAAAATTATAGCAGATTGAGTTTAAAAACACCCTAAAGTGGTATTAATGTCTCTTGCAGTTGATGAATCCTGTCCTTCAGTATAATATAATAAAAAATAAAAGTAAATAAAAAATAAATAAAAAAGAATAAAAATGAAAATAAATAAAAATAAAAAATAAAATAAAATAAAAATAAAAATAAAAATAAAAAAAAATAAAAATAAAAATAAATGAAAAAATAATAAATAAAAATAAAAATAAAAATAAAAATAAAAAATATAAAAATAAAATTAAAAATAAAAATAATAAAAATAAAATTAAAGTAAGTGAAATAAATATGAAATTAAAATTAAAAATGAATGAATGAAAAATAAATAATAAAATAAAAATAATAAAAAATAAATAATAAAATAAAAATAAAAATTAATTAAAATGGTAAAGGTAGAAACGTAGGAAATTGGATTTAAATTAGGGTAGTAGAAATGACTCGTAAAAAATAAAAATAGATAAAGCAAGATATGCTAAAATAATAAGAATGAAATAAAATAAAATAATTGTTAAATATAAATAGAAATAAATTCTGTATATATGTGTATAATAATTATAAAAAATGACATAGTTCAAAATCTGCATTAAGACCTAAGGGAGCTAAAGTATTTAAATTAAAAATCCATTTAGTTTCGATTTTTCCCAGCTTCCTTATTTCATCCTCCCCTCTCCAGTTTAGTGTGACTTTTTGGATGGCATAAAAATCTAAAAACTGTGGATCTTTGTTATGTACTAGTCTAAAGTGTTCTGAAACACTATGTTTTTCGAAACCTTTTTTTATATTGCGTACATGTTCATTTATTCTTACGTTTAAGGGGCGTTTTGTTCTTCCTACATAAAGAAGATTGCAGGAACATTTCAATAAATAAATGACTCTTTTTGAAAAGCATGTAGTCATTTCCTGTATTTTGTATTTCCTTTCCCTTTTGGAATCGTAGAATTCTGTAATGTGTCTTTTTTCGTTCTTTGTACTCCTACAGGCTAGACACTGTCCACAGCCGAAGAAACCCTTATTTTGAAAAAAAGGAGTGGGTGTCTGATGTTTTATATGATTCCGTACCAATTTTTGTTTTAGGTTGGGAGCTCCTCTGTAGATAAATCTCGGTTTTTCTGGCAATATAGAGTGTAGCATTGGATCGTTCCTTAAAATGGGCCAGTGTCTATTTACAATTCGTTTTATTCTCTGGCTCTCTTGATTAAAATTACAAATGAAAGGTAAGATGTTTTTGTCGTTTTTTTCCTTTGATTTGTATTCTAGCAGTGAGGATCTCTCCATGGTTTCTACTTCTTTTATAGTGCTCATAAGGGAATTTTCCATATACCCTTTTTCCATAAATTGATTTTTAATTCTATTGGCTTGGGTCTTAAAAGTGCTCTGGTCAGTGCAATTCCTACGGATTCTCATTAGTTGTGCTTTTGGGATATTTCTCAACCAGGGAGAAAAATGACAGCTGTTTAAAAAGATATAGTTGTTAACGTCTACCTGTTTGAAAAAGGTCTTTGTCTTAATGTGATTGTCTTCTATAAAAATTGTAAGATCTAAAAAATTGACACTTTCTGTGCTATATTCCGTGGTTAGTTTTACTCCCCAATCATTTGAATTCAAAAAAGCTAAAAATGTCTTAAGTGAATCCTCTGAACCAATTATCTCACACACTAAAGGCATAGAAGCCACCAATTCCTTTCTAAGGAAAGAAAATCTTTATCCAGAAGAACAAATTAATTTCATAATTGAAGGAATAGAATTAATTTTAAGTAACAATTACTTTTGGTTTAATGATGAGTTTTTTCTACAAAAAGTAGGTACCGCTATGGGAACCAGGTTCGCTCCCAGTTATGCCAATCTATTTATGGCATTTTGGGAAGAAGAATATATTAATGAAAATACTAACTGGAGAGCGAACCTGGTCTCCTATAAGCGGTACATAGACGACATATTTTTTATTTGGAATGGTTCAGAGGATTCACTTAAGACATTTTTAGCTTTTTTGAATTCAAATGATTGGGGAGTAAAACTAACCACGGAATATAGCACAGAAAGTGTCAATTTTTTAGATCTTACAATTTTTATAGAAGACAATCACATTAAGACAAAGACCTTTTTCAAACAGGTAGACGTTAACAACTATATCTTTTTAAACAGCTGTCATTTTTCTCCCTGGTTGAGAAATATCCCAAAAGCACAACTAATGAGAATCCGTAGGAATTGCACTGACCAGAGCACTTTTAAGACCCAAGCCAATAGAATTAAAAATCAATTTATGGAAAAAGGGTATATGGAAAATTCCCTTATGAGCACTATAAAAGAAGTAGAAACCATGGAGAGATCCTCACTGCTAGAATACAAATCAAAGGAAAAAAACGACAAAAACATCTTACCTTTCATTTGTAATTTTAATCAAGAGAGCCAGAGAATAAAACGAATTGTAAATAGACACTGGCCCATTTTAAGGAACGATCCAATGCTACACTCTATATTGCCAGAAAAACCGAGATTTATCTACAGAGGAGCTCCCAACCTAAAACAAAAATTGGTACGGAATCATATAAAACATCAGACACCCACTCCTTTTTTTCAAAATAAGGGTTTCTTCGGCTGTGGACAGTGTCTAGCCTGTAGGAGTACAAAGAACGAAAAAAGACACATTACAGAATTCTACGATTCCAAAAGGGAAAGGAAATACAAAATACAGGAAATGACTACATGCTTTTCAAAAAGAGTCATTTATTTATTGAAATGTTCCTGCAATCTTCTTTATGTAGGAAGAACAAAACGCCCCTTAAACGTAAGAATAAATGAACATGTACGCAATATAAAAAAAGGTTTCGAAAAACATAGTGTTTCAGAACACTTTAGACTAGTACATAACAAAGATCCACAGTTTTTAGATTTTTATGCCATCCAAAAAGTCACACTAAACTGGAGAGGGGAGGATGAAATAAGGAAGCTGGGAAAAATCGAAACTAAATGGATTTTTAATTTAAATACTTTAGCTCCCTTAGGTCTTAATGCAGATTTTGAACTATGTCATTTTTTATAATTATTATACACATATATACAGAATTTATTTCTATTTATATTTAACAATTATTTTATTTTATTTCATTCTTATTATTTTAGCATATCTTGCTTTATCTATTTTTATTTTTTACGAGTCATTTCTACTACCCTAATTTAAATCCAATTTCCTACGTTTCTACCTTTACCATTTTAATTAATTTTTATTTTTATTTTATTATTTATTTTTTATTATTTTTATTTTATTATTTATTTTTCATTCATTCATTTTTAATTTTAATTTCATATTTATTTCACTTACTTTAATTTTATTTTTATTATTTTTATTTTTAATTTTATTTTTATATTCATTTATTTTTATTTTTATTTTTATTTTTATTTATTATTTTTTCATTTATTTTTATTTTTATTTTTAATTTTATTTTTATTTTTATTTTTATTTTATTTTATTTTTATATTTATTTATCATTTATCTTTCATTTTTCCATTCTTTTTTAATTTCAATTTTTCTATTCCATACTTTTCATTTTTTATTATATTATACTGAAGGACAGGATTCATCAACTGCAAGAGACATTAATACCACTTTAGGGTGTTTTTAAACTCAATCTGCTATAATTTTGGGAATAAAGCAAAAAAGTTTACATTTTAAAAATGATTTAAGTGAAACATAGTATGAATACCCCCTTTTTAAATGTTTATTATGCACAATGTGAAACCCAGAATATAATAGTTCACAAAAACACTTTTATTTTCTTGTTTTTTAAAAAAGAATTATTCACAGAAAAGTTTATTAAGTGTAGAAATATCACTGTTTATAAGATATATGGTATATATTGTTTTAACTTTAAGTTTTGAAATCCGCATATGAAATACTGCACATTGATATATACTTCTTGCCCTTTTGATATCTTTTTCCCACCATTTCGGCTCTTTATTTTGAGCCTGTTATGAACTGGAACATGAACTGAAAAACGACGATATCAAGGACTTCATTGCCCATCACCATAGCGGTCCACAACCGGAAATGACATTTACAAACGCAATGAACTATGGGAGATGTAGTAACATCGAACCGGAAGTGACGCGACGCTAGTTTGGGCGCATCACGGCAAATCACCGCGGACCGGCAAAAAGGGAACTTTTGGCGGGTAAAGAAAGATTTAAAAGCAATGGAAGACAGAAGACGTCCTGAAGCTGACTGAGGAAGCCGATTTTCGGTGAAACGCGTTTTGGCTGCAAGTGGATTTATGCTACACCACTGAATACATTAGTATTACTTATATGTTTTTATATAACCCCTTTTTTTGTTTTTATATATAGTCTGTATATTTTAATACTGATAATAAACATATTTGCTATATATTATACCTATTGCATCCTGCACAAGTGATTCAAGAAAGGGATAGTGTCACCCTATAATTTGACACTGAACCTACATACTTAGAGCCAGTTATAAAAAGGCTCTTAAAAAGGTGAGCACTTTTCCTGGTTTTTATCCACATTGATACACGTTGGTATTCTAAATACTACACTTAGTTTGGACGCTTTTCTCTGTTTTATCTTAACATACTCTGGAGAACAACAGACGGTCCATCATTGAGAGAGAGGGGTTGTGTGGTCTACCCAAAAGACACAGACGTTTGGAAGTTTAGAGCCTTACCACTGTAAAAGGCTCTAAAAAATGTGAGTTAATTTACATTCGAACTCACATATATAATTGAAATTGATTCTTTAGACATATTGCACTATTATTTGTATATATCTGTTTTTTTCCCTTTATATATGTATACGGAAATACGAGCATTGTATAGATGGTAAGTGCTTTCTGGCACTACATATATATATTCACAATATTTAAATTTACACTGAAGCGCTTCACTCACAGGAATTGAGGATTTAAAGGGATAGACACCTGATAAATCTGTAAATTTCCTCCATTGTTTTTGGTGATTTCTATGTATGTTGGGTTTTTAGGAGTACCCACAGAGTGTATAGCAGCTAAATTCACTTTAATATAATAATTCTATAGCGCCACCTTTCCACAACCTGTGTGTGTATACATAATTCTAAAGCAGTCTGTACAAAAATGCTTCTCCTCGATTGCTGTAGATGGGCAACGTAACATCTTTTATTTTTTTCTGCTTCATGATAAGATCCTTTTCTTACAGGTTGTCTCATGCTGCAATATATATATATGTATATATATACATAATATATATATATATATATATATATATATATATATATATCTATTATATACTATATTATGCCATTGGTTATACCAGTATATATGGTGACCACACACACATACACGTGGGTGTGTGTGTGTGTGTGTGTAGCCAATGGCCCCCTTTTATTAAGTAATAAAAGCTAAAAGCTCATCTTTTACTTCTAATTCTCTCTCTTTATGGAGAAGAAGAGGATGCCATGTTGAAAGTGCTGTAAATTAAAACAAAGGTAAATTGTTATCTAAGGAAAACCTCAAACTGTAAGTAATCACCCACATTTTAGAAATAAAGTTAATAACAAAGAAATCAACAAACAAGAATAAAACAAAAACAAGATTTTTCCTTTCCTGTACCATCAAGAGCATCCTTAAGTGCTCTTTAAATACCTAACTGGCACATTAAGGATGCTTGTGTACAGTGTTCTGGAAGACACAGAGTAGCCATTTTAAAAATGTCAATTGTGGCAAAATTAAGATAGCTGTGATTAGAGAAAAGCATGTGGGCACACCATCTCCCTGTATGCCAGAGGCCACAATAGATGTTCCAAAAGCAACCACTCAAAGGCTGCCCCGGAGAGTGCCCAGAGACACTCCTAGAGATGCTGGTGACCACATTGGTACTCGCAAATCAGAACACCAGGCAAAGGCAAAGGTGAGTAATTCAAACAGTGCCTAAAAAGTGAGTCTGCAATAGGAAAGAGCTATAACTGAAGGAGACAATTCTGGCTTCCTTACCACCACAATGAATGTATATGAGTAAATATTAGCACCATATCGTCAGTTGCTTTGAGCTATTATCAGTAACCTCAACCCAGGGAGTCCTAAATGGCTTGGGATGTATCTAAGTTAATCTCTTGGGAAAGAGGCTGAACTCCCTAGGAGGGCCATATCGAAAAACTAAAATAGCAGGTGAACCTTAAAAGAAAAACTGTACAGCCTAACAGCTGGATTTAATGAAAACAAGACTGATGGTAATGAGGAGTTGTGTCCTTTTAAAATATCCTTCAAATTTAAATTTAGTATTCCTGCCCTAGCTGAGAGGGAGGAGCTTAACCCATATGTGATTCTGACATGAATATGAATAAGGAAATAAATTTATGAAATACTGACTGCAATGGAATGTTATTTAAATTACAAAGCAATTTAAAGATATCATAAGACAAAATACGGACTACATTGTCTTATAACAGATCTTGATGATATCAAAATTTGACAAAAGGTGCTCTCGAATTTGTACAAACTAAGCATCCATTGCCAGTGATAATAGAATTCAGGTATTGTCTTGTTCATCACAGAAATGTGGTCATTGGAGACTCTTGTGGTCTTGTGTGATCCTCCATAGACCTCAGTGTTGTAGTCTCATGCATGAGTGGTCATCAGTAAAATATGATTGTAGCCAAGAGACTGCTTCAGATATATGTATGTACCTTTCATTGCCCCCCCACAGCCAAGTGAAGATGTCCCTTTTGGGGGTCTTTGCCACTTATACATCTGTATTTGACTCCTAATTAATTATATACAGGTCCAATTTGCTCCTATTTAGAATTTGTCATGACCACATGTCACACTGCAAGCATGCATCCCGTAGCATAGCTGCCTGCACACTTTAAACCAGTACAAGTGCACCGCGCATCTCACAATGGTTTCTAATGTTGCACATATACTCTTGCACAACTCTATCATACAAACCCTTAGACAAGTTGTATACAGTAATCTGCTATTCTTATACCACTGTGCTTGAAAACCAGCTTTGTAAATTGCTCGTGCTAGTTCAAAGCCTTTTTGATGATTCCTGCATTCACCCTGTCAATTTTAGCCTCATACTGCCACATAAGCAACGAGGGTCTGTTCCATTTCAATTTTTGAAGTGACTTTAGTTTAGTTGTGTTCCTCCAAGCAACTGTATCAAGAAACACAGAATTTCATGTTCTGACTTCTCATTAACATATTTACTGGTACCTGTTGGTAAAACAAAAAAAAGTATGTAAAAAAAACTCTTGATAGCTTTATTTTGCACTGCAGGTTATAAAAATATTACTTTATTATTAACATGTTGATAGATGAATTACACTGCCAGTAATTTGAAGGCTGGATGAAACTGTTATTAGACACACACAAAATGGTCTTATGCATTTAGTACAAAAGACAAATTGCGTAAACTAAACATTCAAACAAAAGCATTATTTTGATTACAGCCAATACCTGTTACTCATTTTGTTGGGAATCTATTGCTTAACCCCTTAAGACCAGAGGGCGTACTATTACGCCCTATTTTAGGCGGCTCTAAACGCCGCCGGGCGTAATAGTACACCCTCCGGTCTTTCTATACTTACCTGGTTGCTGACGATCCCACGCTGGCGATCGCGGTTGGGGGGACTCCCAGGGAGCCCCCCACAGCACGTCTGACCCCCTGGAAGCCCCCCCGGCCATGTGAGAGTGAGGTCCTTGCGGGTCCAGTGGCAGCCAGTCTTCTGATCTGCATACTGTTTTGTCCTCAGTCCTCACCTCTTTGGGCTGTATTACCAATAAACTTGACAAGTTGGATGCAGATAATCTAGGGACCCTAGGTTAAATCGGAAGCTATCTATCCCCGAATTTGTGTTAGCTTTCGGGATATACAGAGATGTGATTTGCTCAGTATATCCGGATAGGAGAGAAGAGTTGGACCTTTATCTCCACAAGCTGGTGGATTTGGGGCACAAGTACGGTGGTACGTCCTTTTACGACTAACACTGTGCCTTTTCCGCGAAGGCGTCGGCCTCTCTTACTCAGTTTAATCATCAAACTGATTGGGGTGTGCTTAATACATAGCTTTTTTGTCGGCACTTTGCGGGCCTCAAAACCCCAGCTTGTGCCATTTGCTTGTCCAACTCCCACATGGCTAATCTGTGCCCTAACTCTCCCAAGGTGAATGCTGTTTTTCCCCCTACTAACATGATGCCCACTGGGAGAACAGGCAGAGGTCTGAAAGACAAACTAGGCCGTGATATAGTGTTTTTGGGAAAATCGCAAGTCTGTAACAATTTTAACACTGGCACTTGCAGATACAGTGCCTGTAGACTGCTTCACGTCTGCTCAAAATGTTTCAGGGCTCACTCAAAAGTAATGTGCCTCAATAAATTATATCCTAAGCAGTATTTATCATCTCTTAATGTCTCTCTACTGGAAAAGCTTTTGTGTGAGCACCCATCGCGACATCTCGAGTTTTTGGTAGCAGGATTTACTTTGGGGCTTCACACGGGTATTATTCACATGCCTACGGGAATCTTGGAATGTAAAAACTTGCAGACAGCCCTAGCAGCTCCAGACACTATGAACCTAATCCTCCAGAAGGAAGTCGACCAAGGTTTCGTAATAGGCCCTTTCGTCTCCCCGCCTTTCGCGGTCTGGAGAACTAATCCCATAGGACTGGTCACTAACAAATCCTCCAATAAGCATAGGTTAATTCTCGACCTATCTGCTCCCCATGCATCACCTACCCCAAGTCTCAATTCTCTTATTCCATCAGAAGAATTTTCCCTCCAATATGCGACCATAGATAATGCCATCACTGCCATCCTCTCTGCCGGGGTAGGGGCATGGCTGAGTAAAACTGATATTGTGAACGCCTTTAAGTTACTCCCTATCCACCCTTCCCTGTGGCATTTACATGGTGTTAAGTGGCAAGGTTCGTATTATTTTTTCACACGCCTCACCTTTGGTTCTAAGAGCAGCCCCAGGATTTTTGATATATTTGCTGAGACGTTGTGCTGGATGCTGCTTAACATCTGTAAATGCCCAACCGTAATACATTACCTGGACGACTTCCTGACCATAGAAAGGAACCTGGTACCTCCTAGTAGCCTTCTGTCCGTAACGCGACTGTTCACACAACTAGGGGTACCTGTTTCACCAGCAAAGACTGAAGGTCCAGATACGATCATCAACTTCTTGGGAGTGGTACTGGACTCTGTACATATGCAGGCTAGCCTCCCCGGGGAGAAGATTAATCGCATCCTAGCAGCCATTGATCTTTACCTAGCAGGTGGCTTGTGTAATAGGAAAGAATTACAATCCCTGTTGGGTTCCCTAAATTTCCCATGAAATTAATTCCACAGGGGAGAGCGTTCATATCCCGTTTGCTTAGGCTATTTCCCCTGTTTCACTCTGATACCACCCGCATTACGTTAGACATACATGCCACCGCTAACCTACATATGTGGAGAGAATTTTTGCTAAATTGGAATGGGAAAAGCATTTTTATCCCGGTATGGTCAGATAAGTCAGTGTCATTATGGACGGATGCCGCTGCCACATCAGGGTTCGCAGCTATTTGTGGCAATGAATGGATGTGGGGTAAGTGGCCAGGGGAAATTACTGCAATCCCCAAGTTCAAAGACACATCAGCCTTATTCAAACTTTACCCCATTGTGGCAGCAGCAGTTAAGTGGGGAGCTGGCTGGTCTGGGAAGACGGTGCATTGCTTCTCTGACAACATGGCAACGTGCCATATTGTAAACAAGGGTTGTTCCTCTTCCCTGGCCATCATGCGGTTTATGAGGACTCTCACTTGGCTAGCTGCTAAACACAGTTTTCTTTTAACTTGCATTCATGTTCCTGGGGTGCTCAATATCGCTGCTGATCAATTATCATGGTCTCGGTTTCAGGAGTTCCGGGCAGCACTACCAACAGCTACCCCGACACCGACTCCAGCACCTCAGTTGCAGGAATTGGTTTGGGACTAAAAGAATTGCTCTATCACGGGCAACAACTTTCGCAACTCGGTCTTTCCAATAACACCAGGAAAGCATATGGCAGAGCTTATCATGTGTTCAATAAATTCTTGCTGGACTTTAATGTCACTGACCAATTCTCCATTGAGACTATCATCGCATTTATTTATTTTTGCCACCTTCATCTGACACTATCATATAACACCATTAAGTTGTATGTCACAGGTATTCAACGTCACATCCTCACAACCTGGCCTAATAGACAACGATTTCTGTCATCCTACCAAGTTAAAAGGTATTAAAGACTCCACCTCTATACCCTCACCGTCCAGACTACCCATTCACAATCTTTTGTTTCAGTCACTATTCAATCTGCTAGACACCTCACCATTCAAAGCCCATACAAACCGTGTAATTAAAACAGCCATCTATTTGGCTTTTTACGGTTTTCTTAGGCCCAAAGAGTTCACCACCACTAACTATAACTCCCCTGACTTCATCACTAGGTCAAATCTGGTAAAAGTACTAGATCACTACGTGCTACCCTACACCATACCAAAACTACTGCTAAAGGACAGACTGTCACTATCACCTATTACCCCACTAACAATAATTGGTGTCCGGTGGAAGTTTTCGACAAATACCTCTCTTCTTGTACCATAGCCCCTACACAACCACTCCTTACGTTACACGGTAACAAGCTAACAACAAGTAAATTCATGGTGTATGTTAGGATGTTGTTGGTCCGTTTAGGATTAAACTCAGCAAATTACTCTGGCCACTCATTTAGAATAGGAGCCGCCACTACAGCTTCTAAGAAGAATATCCCGGCTCACATAATTAAAATTTGAGGCCGTTGGAAATCCACGGCTTACACAAGATACATCCCTCAGCCAATACAAGAAATGTGCTTAGCATTCAAGACCATGAATATGTGATATGCTATGATATATTTGTAGGATGAATAAACTGGTTATATCTTTTTTGCCCTCTTTTATTTCAGGCCTACTGCCTTGTCAGTTCCGGCACACCACAACTGACATTTCCATTCCCTGTTTGTCTTATGTTACTAATGCTACGGCTTTATGCCGTGACCACAAATGGAAGGCATGGCCTGAAGTTGTGGGAGGGGCTTGGTTCCCCTTCTTAAGGAACATCAGCCCTTCCCTCATTACCTGTTAGGTCTGGCGAGTTGCCCCTCCCACCACACCTCCTTTTTAGCACTTCATAAGGTAGGCCCTCTTTTATTTCAGGCCTACTGCCTCGTCAGTTCCGGCACACCACAACTGACATTTCCATTCCCTGTTTGTCTTTATGTTACTAATACTACAGCTTTATGCCGTGACCACAAATATACACATATACATACACACACATATACTGTCTAGGTGTATTTTATATATATATTAATATCAAATTACACGTAGACTGATACTGATTAAATATATATATAATTATTGTTATATATATATTTATATATAATATAAAAAAATTAAATATGTAAATACGTTAAAAAATAAAATTAAAAAAATTATTTAAAAAAATTATTACAAAATATATAGATGTGTGTTATTTCGTTCTAACTGTATTGTGATATTAATATATATAAATACACGTAGAACGAAATAATATATATATCTATATACATAAATATATACGTATATATCACTATATATATACCTATATATAAATAAAAAGATTTAAAAAAAATTATATATGTATATATATATATATATATATATTCACATACGTATATATATATATATACATATATTAATTCTACATATAATATTTTTTTTTTTTCAGATTTGTATTTTATTATTTCTTCAATATGTGGTCAGGGGTACAGAAGGAAAAAGGGTATGTTAGCGGGGGGATACAAGGTTTCAGCATTTTACATAACCATCACATCCGCAGATTTTGCAGAACCTGAGGGAATACAGGGGGGATTGGTACATACATGCATTTCGACACAGTAAATTGGGTATATGCATAAGCTGCTTAACTGTTAGATTGTGTACACTGTCGCCTAAGCGTCTATGTGGTCTGGCTCTTAAGTGAGAGCCATGCCAGGGAATCCTCCCGTAACCAAGGTTATGAGCGTGAGTGGTCTGTTCAGCCGACGTAGTTATTATTGTAGGCTGTACGGCCTGTGGTGGTTCTTTGTGTCAATTAGTCCCAGGTTTGCGGGTTGGGAAGTGCCGGAGTCAAGCCTCATTTTTGATGAGTGCGTTGGTGTATAAGTGGGTAGCCCCTATGGTAGGGCGAAAACTTGGTAGGGGGTGGGGGGGGGCTGGTTAGGCACGGGGGGGGTGAGGGAGGGGAAGGGGAGTGGGAGAGAGTACTGGTAGAGTGTGGTACAAGTACCGTTTGTGTACTGTATGAGTCCTGTCCTCATCAGAGAACAGGTCTTATTGCATTCGTTAGGAAGTTGTCAACTGTTGCTTTTTTTTTTTTTTTTTCTGTGTACTGTGTCACATATTTTGCCTGGGTACACCTCCCTTTTCGTCCACCGCCCCCTCCCAGTCTCCCCAGCCCACATCAAATGCAAGTTTCTTTTGTGGGGATACTATTGCCATTCTTTCATAGATTTTGTATTGAGTGAGTTTGGTTTGGAGTTGGGCTAAGGATGGGCAGGTCTGTGATTTCCAATGTAGTGCTAGCAAGTTCCTTGCCGCCAGTATAGTAAGAGCTGCAATCTGTTTTTGTGCTAGGGTGAGGTTGGCTGGGAGTAGGAGCAGGAGACACGAGGTTTTCGACAGTTGGAATTTAGGGATGTGAAGTTGGTCTAGTGTCGTTGATACGGCGGTCCAAAGTGGTTGGATACTGCCGCAAGACCACCACAGATGCTCCAAGGTTCCTGTAGTTGCGTTGCACCTCCAGCAAGTTTTGGGCGTATTGGGGTATATGCGGTGGAGTCTCTGTGGGGTCATGTACCAACGGTAGAGGAGTTTTTTGTGGGCCTCAACGTGCGTGTAGCACTTTGTCCATTTAGAGAGACCGTTGAGGGCGCGTAGCCAGTCGTAGTCCGTCAGTGCTGTCCCACAGTCTGTCTCCCAGTGGAGTTTATAGGGGTGCGATGTGGGTGTTGAGAGTTCTTGCCATGCCTTGTAACATAGCGTAAGTGTTTTGGGTTTTGTGGGTGTTGCCCAGCATCTGTCTAGGAGTAAGTGAGAAGTGAGTCTAGTCGCGTTTAGTGATGTATGCAGTGAAGGTGTGTGTGCTTGTATCACACTTTTTAGTTGTAGGTAAGAAAAGATAGCTCTGTTTGGGAGTTGCCACTGCGTTTGTAGGACTGGGAATGGTATTATGCCTTTGGTGTCTAAGAGCTGTGATATTGTTGCCACTCCTGCTGTGTTCCAGTCCTTAAGGGGAATGTTGGGTACTATTGTTCTCAAGACTGAGATTGGGGATTTGGCGTGTAGTGTGTCCTTGTGGCCTATAGTCTCCATAAAGGTGTCCCATATGGATATTGTGAGTTGTGTGGTTGAGAACAGGTCTGTGCGTTTAGTTCTAAACTTCCTCGGTGTCCATAGGTAGTCGGTTAGAGACATGACTGTAAATTGTGTTCTTTCCATGTCCACCAACTGTAATGTGCCTGGTGTAGCGTGAAGGAGTATGCCCGTGGAGAGAATCGCTGCTCTGTGGTATTGCCTCAGGTTTGGGAGACCCACTCCTCCAAGTCGTGGAGCGGTCTGGAGAAGTGCTAAGGATACCCGGGGTCTTTTCCCGCTCCAGATATAAGCGCCACATAATTTTTGTAGTGCTTTACAAAATTGGGGCGTGATCCCTAACGGTATCATCCTAAAAATATAAAGAATACGTGGCAGGATCATCATTTTGTATGTGTTAATTCTTCCTAACCACAAGAGTTTTGCGTGTTTCCATCTGTTCATTTCCACTTTACATAGTGTTATTAGAGGTTTGTAGTTTAGTTGTGAAGTGGCAGAAATTGTGGGTGCTATCTTTATTCCCAGGTATGTGATAGAGTGTGGTTTCCAGTCGAACTGGTAGGAGGTCTGGAGTGTGTCCAGCAAGGGCTTTGGCAGGTTTATTGGTAGGGCTTGGGTTTTGTCTTGGTTTAGGCGGTAGTAGGAGATATCGCCAAATTTCTGTAGGAGGTCTAACAGGGGAGTAAGAGAGCGTCGTGGGTCTGACAGTGCTATAAATATGTCCTCGGCAAACAAGGCTAGACTGTACATTTTGTTGTGGATATTGACTCCTAGTATCTCGGGGTGTGTTCGGATCTTTTGTGCCAGGGGTCCTAGGGCAAGTATGTACAGAAGGGGTGACAAGGGGCATCCCTGGCGGGTGCCATTTGTGATGGAGAATGCAGCGGAGAGGAACCCTCTGTGTGATACCTTTGCTGCTGGGCGATGGTATAGAGCCATAATGCTAGTTATGGTGGATTCTGGAAAGTTAAATTGTGCTAAAACTTTAGTCATATAGGCCCAATTTAGGCGATCGAAGGCCTTCTCCGCGTCTAAGGTGAGGAGGAGGCCTGATGATCTGTTGGACTCCAATGTGGAGATCATGTTTAAAATTTTCCTGGTGTTGTCCGAGCCCTGGCGGCCTCTGATAAACCCAGATTGGTCGTTGTGGATTATTTTATGCAGGAGGGGGGCGAGTCGGTTACTGAGTAGCTTCGCGTATAGCTTGGCATCTCCATTTAGAAGGGATATAGGCCGGAAATTTTTGCATTGTGTAGGGGGTTTGCCGGGTTTGGGGAGAGTAGAGATATGTGCCAAGAGCATTTCTTCTGGGAGCGCACCTGCCGTAGCACATTTGTTGACTAGTTGAAGGAGCAGTGGCGCTATGGTTGGTGAGAAAGTTTTATAGTATTCATTTGTTAAGCCATCGGGGCCCGGTGATTTGTGTGCTGGGAGTTGAGAAATGGCTTTCGTGAGTTCGTCTAGAGAGAAGGGTCTTGTCAAGGGTGCTAGGTCGTTTTCTGTCAGTTTGGGTAGGTCCAAGGCAGCTAGGAAATCATCTATTTTGTCTGGGGTTGGTATGTTCACATTGGGGTCTTGTTTGAGGTTATATAGTTCGCCGTAGTATTGAGCGAATTGGTCTACAATGTTTTGGGGGTTCGTTACCTTTGTGCCCTTGGGGTTATTTAGGAAGGCGATCCTGGAGGCGACATTCCTTTTTTTCAGTTGTGATGCCAGTATTGCACCAGCTTTGTTGCCACTCGTAAAGAAATTGTGTTTCAGTTTCCTGAGTAGGTATGTTGTTTTGGCTAGTTCAATGTTGTTTAGCTTGTTTTGGAGAGCTAGAGGTTTTGTTTTTGTGGCTGGGTTTGGGTCTCTTTTGTTTGAATGTGTTAGGGTTCGGATTTCTTCCAAGAGATTAGTATACTCGGCCATTCTCTGCTTTTTAGCGTAGCTGGCATGTTTTATAAAACTGCCTCGTATGACCGCCTTATGTGCCAGCCAGATTTGTTCGATTGCGGAATCAGCGGTCGTGTTTTCCGCCATATAATTTTGTAGATCTTTCGTTATCTGGGATACTATTGCTGGGTCTGCTAGAAGGGATTCATTAGGTCTCCAGGAGCCGGATCCTTTATTGGTAAACGCTTCTTTAATGCTAAGCGTAATGGGAGCATGGTCGGACCACGTCATTACCCCAATTGTCGCTCCTTCTATTTGGGCCATCGATGTGGTGGGTATGAGGAATCTATCTATCCGAGAGTAGCTGTTGTGGGCTGCTGTGTAGCATGTGTGATCTATGTCTGTTGGGTGTAAAATGCGCCATGGGTCTACCATGCGGGCTGCGGTCAGTGTGGAGCATATTTTTGTTGTTAGTGTAGTTCTGTGTCTGAGTGTGCAACTCTTGATATGGGCTGTGGTGGAGGAGTCTAGTCTGCTGTCCAATAGACAATTTGTGTCGCCTCCAATGATCACCTCCCCATGACTATACATATCAGTTAGAGCCAGGATCATTTGCAAAAACTCGTTTTGATTTTCGTTAGGGCTATATACATTGATCAGAGTATACGGTGCATTATTCAACATACATTGTAAAATTAAATATCGACCTTTTTTGTCACTAATTTTCCTAACTAAAGAGAATGCCACATCTTTGCTGATCACTGTGGAGACTCCTCTTTTCTTAGCTGAGTAACATGTGTGGAAATCGTGAGGATACCACTTTGAGGTGAATTTGGGTCTAGAGTTCCATTTGAAATGGGTCTCTTGGAAAAATGCCACTTGGGCCCCACATTTTTTCGCTTCTTGCAAGGCTAGTCTCCGCTTATTGGGGGAGTTGAGCCCCTTGGTATTTAGGGACATGAGCTTAATCACCATCTATCCAACGTGTAGGGTGCTGTGGCAGGGGTTTGTGTTTCTTAATCGAGCTAGTGGTTACCCTAACCTGGCAGCGTCGAAGGATACCCATGGGGTTCGTGTGCCTGGGGGATCTAGGTATTTTGCAACCTTGTACATCAATTATGCTGTGCTTGCAGAGTACTCTCAGCGGGGGAGTGGTGCGGAGGAGGAAGGGAAAACAGGGGGAGAAACTATATACAACATTCCGTAAGTCACGGTTTGGTGACATATGGTTGCCTGAAGCAACGGAGAAGTTGGGCTACTAGAGCCTTGGGGGTGTACCACACTGGGTGTGGTGACTGGATCCTTATGTGTAGGGGATCAACAATAACTTAGGTCGAGTGTAGTGCTGTCGGGTATCGCTCACCCGTTGCGGCTAGGCCTGTGGCCTTCTGTTAAACCCTTATTGGGTATCTTAGGGTAAACTTACAATAATAACATAAAACAGAAACAGTGTAAACCTGTACGTTAAGTTCATTGGAGGGCGTGGTGTGGCGTTGAGTCCGGATCTTTCAGGTCGGTGACTTGTCCGGGTCCACGCGTGCTTGGGGGGGCCCTGTGAACTCGTGACCAGTCTTTAGACAGCGCCTTTGGCACTTGGGCCGTTGCTTGTTTCTTCCTGGGGCTAGTAGATAGGAAGGGTATGTTCCATTCCTGAAGCGCCTTTTTGCCGTCTTCCGGAGTCATGATGGGCTTGTCTACGCCGTTTCTTTTAATTAGTAGCTTCGTAGGAAAGCCCCACTTGTAGGGGATATTCGCGTTTCTTAGTGCCTCTGTGATCGGTGCAAAGGCTCGGCGTTTGAGCATGGTCGCCGAAGAGAGATCAGTGAACAGCTTGATATCTTTATATAATTCCGGCCATTTGTTCATGGTCCTGGAAGTCTGCATGATTCTGTCCTTGACAGTGAAATGGTGTACTCTCATGATCGTATCTCTCGCAGTGTCCGGCGGGAGATGTTTAGGCTTTGGGAGTCTGTGGGTCCTGTCCAGGATCAAGTCGAATTCAGACCGAGAAGGGATCAGGGTTTTAAACAGGTCTTTGACGTACCTGGGTAAATCTTGTTGTGAAATGGTCTCTGGTATACCCCTTATACGGATATTATTTAGTCTGCTCCTGTCTTCTTGGTCGGCCACCTTTTCTTCCAAGGATTTTAGTTTGCGTTCTAAGTCTGTGTAGGCCTCTGTTATTGTATTATGTGCCTCCACCAGTTCGTCTGCCCTGTCTTCCAGGCGGGTAGTACGCTCCCCCATGCTATGGATGTCTGCTTTGATGTCAGCGGTCATCTGAAGGAGGTCAGCCTTAAATGAGGTTTGGAGCTCCTGCATAATTAGCCTGATTGAGGCATTTGTTGCTGGACTGCTGTGCTCTGACAGGCATTCTCCTGTATCATTGCTGTGGGCAGGCGAGTGCCATCCGTCGGCGCCATCTTGGATTTTAGGCTCCGTGGTTTGTGACCGTTTTAGGTGAGGATTAAGGGTTTTTTGCTTAAATTTTTTCGTGGCCATCAGGAGCAGAGATGTTTACCTGAGGGTGTAGTAGGTTATTGCTCGTTTTGAAGGGTTATTCAGGCTGTGATAGCTGCTTTATTGCCGCGGGCCGGGAGAGCTCCGTTCCTGCACGTCCGCTCACATGCGCGGTCAGGACACGCCCCCTCCTACATATAATATTTTTACATAATTAGGTATCTTAATTAATTACAATTAGCGGGACCTGCCTGACAACCCAATGCCGAAAGTAAAGGGAATTTAATTTTCTAGCACTATATTTAACCAAGACACCATAAAACCTGTACATGGGTGGTACTGTTCTACTCGGGAGACTTTGCTGAACACAAATATTAGTGTTTCAAAACAGTAAAGTGTATTACAACGATGATATCGCCAGTAAAAGTGACGTTTTTTGCATTTTTCACGCACAAACAGCAATTACAAGGATGATATTATTGCTGCAATACTTTTTACTGTTTTGAAACACAAATAGTTGTGTTCAGCGAAGTCTCCCGAGTACAACAGTACCCCTCATGTACATGTTTTATGGTGTTTTGAAAAGTTACAGTGTCAAATATAAGGCTTGTGTTTCATATTTTTCACATTAAAATTCGCCAGATTGGTTACGTTGCCTTTAAGACCCTATGGTTGCCCAAGAATGAAAATTACCCCTATGATGGCATACCATTTGCAAAAGAAGACAACCCAAGGTATTGCAAACAGGGTATGTCCAGTCTTTTTTAGTAGCCACTTAGTCACAAACACTGGCCAAAATTGGCATTTTTTGCATTTTCACACACAAACAAATACTAACGCTAACTTTGGCCAGTGTTTGTGACCAAATGGCTACTAAAAAAGACTGGACATACCCCATTTGCAATACCTTGGGTTGTCTACTATTGCAAATGATATGCCATTATGGGTGTAAATTTCTTTCCTGGGCTACTATAAAGTCCCAAAGGCAACGTAACCAATCTGGCGAATTTCAAATGTAACGTGCTATATTTGACCCTGTAACTTCCCAAAACGCCATAAAACCTGTACATAGGGGGTACTGTTTTACACGTGAGACTTTGCTGAATACAAATATGTGTATTTTATTGCAGTAAAAGCAAACAGTATTATGACATTGACCGTTAAAATGTCATGTAGAACTAAAAAAATCTAAAAAAATCTTATTTTCTTCCATTTTTTTCATATTAAATTATGTTTCATAGCTAAATATTTGATATTAAATGAAAGCCCTGTTTCCCCTGAATAAAATGATATATAATAAGGGTGGGTGTATTTAATATGAAAGAGGTGAATTACGGTTGGACAGACATGTAGCGCAAATGCCAGGTTTTGTTTACTTTTTGTTTCGTTCACAACGTGTACATTTGGCTCTGTCCTTAAGGGGTTAAACTCTACTCCAAAATATGCATGCTCCTAAGAAACAAATAGCATTTAACCTTGGTGGAAAGCAGTACATTGCTTGAAGAGATGCAGTAAATGCATTTGTGGGGTGCATCCATTACTGAAAACTCATTCCTAATGCTTCTTTGTTTTTGAATGTAATTACACCACCCACTATTGTGAAATCTTTAAATGAACCGAGCTTGCAAACAATTCAGATGTACCATTCTTTTGGTTGTTTTTTTTTTCTTATGTTTTTAAACTTTTCTGCAGTTCTACAGAAAGCTGTTAACATAGCCTGACCATTATGCACATTCTATGCCTATAGTTTACCTAGTAATCTGTATTATAAAAAAAAAAAAAAATCTTTTTCCTAAATATACCCATAAATAGATAACAGAATTGCAGAGTAAAACGTGTTCTCTTTAAGTTCTCTATGGTACCTACATGTTGAAAATTCTCTATGCACGCGAACTGCAGTTTTTTAAATAAGTAAAATTTCCCTGTTATAGCTCTATTTAGTTGTCAAATAATATATAACACACTGAATGAGTGATGCATTCAGAACTGTGATGAAAACTAGAAACAAATTTATTGAAACATTTGTTTATTTCACAAAGAAAAAAACTACACAGGCATGCTTTATATTAGACACAAAGAATAGCAGACACAAAGAAATAGCAGCAACTACTAAAAGATATTGAATAGTGACAGCTGATGGTTATTTAGAAAAACATTTTTATATTTTTGTTTTAATATATTTTTCTTTTTATATATGTTTATCTGCAAACTTTGTCTTTCTTAGCTCCTCATTTAAAACAGCCCATAGACTTTTTCACAATTCATCAAAATTGAAGATTGAAATGTGGACTTTCCATTTGTTTATATGCCTATATTAAATGAATACTCTAAGAACGCTAACTACTAAAGTATGCTGTAATGAATATGTAGAATGAGTGGCCTGATTCAAGTCTCTATCAGTAGTCAAACCATTTTGTAATATTTAGTAATGTTTTGACTTACCTTGGATCCGTTGCCTGGCTCTTCTCAGTTGGAAACTCTTGTCTTTAAAGTAAGCCAGACAGTGCAGGGCTTAGCTCATTGGTTGAGATTGATCAGCTCTTAGCTAATGAGTTGACCCTCAACTGCAGGGCTTAGCTCAGATGAAGTAATGGAAGCACCTGGTAGGAGCTTCTGGATTTTACTTCCATCTGAAATGAGGCAGATATTGATGCCTGGTGGTTTTAAATTGATCTAATTAGTCATACCATACTGCAGTGGTTATGATGCTCAGAGTGGTTCATTAAAATTGCTTGCTCACTGCCTGTTATTGACTCTGTAATGCACTGATTGTCTTGGCACTATTCTTTAGTTACTATTTTATCTATTTTTTCATGCCTGGAATTGATGAGTCAGGAGCAAATATTAGCTTTATTAGTTTTTGTAAAAGTAATTAATAGATTACAGAAGAGAAGGTGATATGGTAGCATATAAAAAGGGGGGAATTATAAGACTTTGAGCATAAGACATAATGCGTCACTATGCATTGAGTATCATGAAGTGGCATACATGTTACATAATGTTAGTTCAATACATTTTACTAAAATGCCTAAGCCAATATAAACCAAAAAAAAAATAAAAAAAAATAAAAAGAAACAAAACCAAAACCAAAAGACAGAGTGGGGCCAGGATCAAACTAACATGTGAACTAAAGAACAATTCAGAAGGACTCAAACTAGTATAAAGGATATACATCTGGTGAGATAAAAACACTAACTATAAGTACCAGATTACTTTATAACTGGCCTTCATGTCTGAGATGCTAAATAGGATTTCCCCAATTCATTTTCTCAGGTATTATAATAATTTGCATTTAGGTCTGCACCTAAAGCAAATAAAGCCATATTTAGTATGTAAATAGTATGTATGTAAATAATGAGAAATATTTTGTAAATGAGGGTGCAAGGATGAATCTAGAGCCCGAATTCAGTAAGGACACAATGGGTGTTATATATTTTGTTTATGGACCCATACGTTTACAGAAACACACATACATACATATAAAAATACAGATACAATGTCAACATACCTACATCTATACCCACACATACAAAGCTTCAAACATATGACCAAATGCAAATATAGTTCAGGCAGTAGGATTACTTGTGCAGCAGTTAATTGGAACAACAGGAAAATCAAGCAACGTTTTGATCTCCACTGAGATACCATCATATATATATCCGTATACACCTTTACATAGATAGATATTCAGATTCATGCATATTGTCTTTCATTCGGCCCATGCAGGTCAACGGTAAATGCACTTGCTTTGTAATCCTCTTGAAACCACCACTGAGTAGGTTTAGTTGTGTGGAGGAAAATGGAGGTGGAGAGGGGTGGTGGAGAGTTGAAGAATTTGGACAAGATACCATGTATTGTTTTCTATAAATGTGCAACAAGAAGGCATGGGATTTGGTTGTCCCAAGGTGACTGTTTCAACCAAGCATTTTTTTGAATTGTGAAACCCCTTCTTATATTTAATATTTAAATATACCTAACTGTTTACTAAAGTGTAGTCTATACATGGTATAAAATATTAAGCACTAGAGACATTTCCAAATATGCTTTTTCTCATTAAGTACTCCACTTTTCTACACCATGTTTTACGTTCTAACATATGGATTTAGATGCCCATATATTTATAAGAATAGCTTTTAGCTATAAGAGACATCATTAGGCACTCTTATTGAGTCACAACTGTTTATTTTCTTACTGCTATTTTCAAATGAACCGCACTGCAACAATGAGATCTATTTGAAAATAGTAGCGACCCATTTGGCTCAGTGTGGTTTCAATTAGGTTGATAGTGATAGCAAATAAAGTGAGCATCAGAGAAATTTTGTTAGCTATAGTTAAGACAATTGAGCCAAATGAAAGTGTAATTCAGTAAGCAGACCCCATATATTCCCACAGAGTGATTTATATATTATTTTGTTTAGTATTATTTTTATTTTATGCTCAAAGTTTTGCAGTTACCAGTAGAATGGTAAATGGTTTATTTTTCATAAATACAAATTTAACCCGGAAGTTGTCAGGAACTATACTGACATGAGATTCGGCTAATTTGATTTGCTAATTCTCAGAATTGTATTTGAATTCGCTCTTGCAATACTCATACTGCTAATTGTCTGTTTTGTGTCAATAGATTAAGTTACTAGTGAGCGCATTACTGTGTAGTTCAGTGAATAGACCCCAGAGTGTTTACATAATTTCTGACTTTAAGCTGATCTTGTTAATGCTATTTAAAATTAGAAATACGTTTGAATTTTGCTAATTAATAAAACAATATTTACAAAAGATCACTGTATATACTGTAGTAGTCCCCCTTGAAACATTTATACTTAAAATTATGGAGCTCTCATCAGCTGATTCATTTTATAATTTTCCTGTCTCAACAGTATAGGTGTCTTAAAGCTGGAACATATATACAAGATATATGATGCACACTATAACAGCAACACTTAATAACACAAATCTTTATTAGAACAACCAAACTAATCAATACAAAAAAAGGACAAAGCAACAAAAAAAAGCAAACAGTAAACCTTACAGTAATTACCAAAGTATCACAAGCCTCAAGCCAGAGACACGAGCCACTAATTCCCCCAAAGTTTCAGCAACTACTGGCTGCTTTTATCAGGGTGACTGTACCTGTGTTCTCCTGTATCTGCTTATAACACCCCTTCACAGCTGAAGGTCATCAGCATTCAATTGTAACCGACACCGGAAGTGGCATCACTTCCAGTGTCGGCACATAATCATAAAGTATTTAAATAGAAAGTCTCCAATTCACAATATAATGTGTACTACAACATAAACAAAAGCAATAATAATGTAAACATCTATACAAGTCAATATATAGTAGAAGCTCCTCCCCATATCCACGAATGCATTCACAATAACATTGCCGCCCGCTCGTGCCATCTTTATTACGGGCAATACCCACAATCAGTGAGCCATCTACCACGCATGCACGCTACTGCTAGGCTGACGCATGCATCCTTCATTCAGATATCACGCCCGCGATGTCAGCATCGATATATAGTTTAGCAAGCTTGCTCCACAAAATGAACAAAAGAGGGCTCACCTACAAGAACTAAAGAAGAGAAGGGTTTAAAAAATATAATGGCATTGGAAAACATGTGGCACTAAGCACACCAAGTGAACGTACCCTCAGTGTAAATAGTACCACATCATTCCCACCAACACCATAATAAAAATAAGCAAAAACATAAAATATAGACACAATAAAAAAAGTGCGAAATAAATGTATTAATATACCACCCATTAATGACATGTCGCCAACATTTAATACATAAGGAGGATATTTACTCCACAGTAAACAACTTAACAACAAAAATATCAAGAAAAAGCTCATTTTCTGTGGCTCAATACTCAAATTCACAAAAGCTCCCATGTCTCAATCTATATGTAGATCAAAGTTATCACCATGGGTGACTTTAATCTTCCTGATGTGAATTGGAAAACCAAAATAGCTGCTTGTGCCAGGAACACACATATTCTAAACTCCCTATTGGGATTGTCTCTAAAACAAGTCGTTGAGGAGCCAACTCGTAAAGAGGTCATACTAGATTTAGTGTTAACAAACGGAGATTTGGTATCAGATATTACTGTAGGTGAAAGTTTAGGATCCAGTGATCATCAGTCAGTGTGGTTTAATATCAGAACAGACTTTTCTAAAATTAGAATATGTGTAAAGGAGTCATTATCAGACTGGAGCAATTTAAATAGAGTCCAAGAAAAATCGGATTATTTAAAAGTTGCACTGCTGAAGGCAACAGAAAATTGCATTAGGCCACTCAGTTAAAGCAAATAAATTCAAGAAACCACTGTGGTACTCCGCAATGTGGCCACAATAGTAAAAAACAAAAAGCATTTAGTAATTATAAAAAAAACAGAGTGAGGAAGACAGAATGATCTATAAGATTAGGCAGAAAGAGGCTAAGTAAGTTATAAGAGCTTCTAAATCACACACAGAAGAGAAAATAGCAGTCAGTAAAAAAGGGGACAAACATTTTTAGATACATGAATGAGAAAAGGAAAGTAAAACAAGCATTAGTTAGATTAAAAACAAAAGAAAGAAGGTGTGTAGAAGAGGATAAAGGTCTAGCTGACTGCCTCAATGAATATTTCTATTCAGTATTTACTGATGAAAATAAAGGAAAGGGGCCTCAGTTCGGGAAAAGGACAAATGAGTCATTTGTTACATGTGAGTTTACAGAGGAAGAGGTTCTATTTCAACTGTCAAAAGTAAAGAAAGGTATTGGGACCTGATGGAATACACCCAAAGTTATTAAAAGAGCTTAGTGGTGTACTAGCAAAACCATTAACATATTTATTTAACCAATCATTGTTAACCAGAGTAGTCCCAGAAGATTGGACGTTAGCGAATGTTGTGCCCATTCACAAGAAAGGTAGTAGGGAGGAGTTGGGCAACTATAGGCCAGTAAGCCTTACTTAAGTAGTGGGGAAAGTAATGGAAACCAGGTTAAAGGATAGGATTGTTGAACATCTAAAAACACATGGATTTCAAGATCAGAGACAACATAGGTTTACTTCAGGGAGATCATGCCAAACTAATCTTATTGATTTTTTTGATTGGGTAACTAAAATAATAGATCAGGGTGGTGCAGTAGACATTGCTTACCTAGATTTCACTAAGGCTTTTGACACTGTTGCACATAGAAGGCTAATCAATAAACTGCAATCTTTAAGTTTGTATTCCAATATTGTTCAATGGGTGAGGCAGTGGCTGAGTGACATGCAACTGAGGGTTGTAGTCAATGGAGTATATTCGAAGCATGGGCTTGTCGCCAGTGGGGTACCTCAGGGATCTGTACTTGGACCCACTCTCTTCAATATTTTTATTATTGATATTGCAGAAGGGCTTGATGGTAAGGTATGTCTTTTTGCTGATGATACTAAGATATGTCACAGTGTTCATGTTCCAGGAGGGATAAGCCAAATGGCAAATGATTTAGGTAAACTAGAAAAATGGTCAGAGTTGTGGCAACTGACATTTAATGTGGATAAGTCTTGAATGTAAAAACCCAAGGGCAGAGTACAGAATATTTGATAGAGTCCTAACTTCAACATCTGAGGAAAGGGATTTAGGGGTGATTATTTCTGATGACTTAAAGGTAGGCAGACAATGTAATAGAGCAGCAGGAAATGCTAGCAGAATTATTGGTTGTATAGGGAGAGGTATTAGCAGTAGAAAGAGGGAAGAGCTCATGCCATTGTACAGAACACTGGTGAGACCTCACTTGGATTATTGTACGCAGTACTGGAGACGTATCTCCAGAAGGATATTGATACTTTAGAAAGAGTTCAGAGAAGGGCTACTAAACTGGTTCATGGATTGCAGGATAAAATTTACAAGGAAAGGTTAAAGGATCTTAACATGTATAGCTTGGAGGAAAGATGAGACGGGGGGATATGATAGAAACATTTAAATACATAAAGGGAATCAACACAGTAAAGGAGGAGACTATATTTAAAAGAAGAAAAACTACCACAACAAGAAGACATAGTCTTAAATTAGAGGGGCAAAGGTTTAAAAATAGTATCAGGAAGTATTACTTTACTGAGAGGGTAGTGGATGCATGGAATAGCCTTCCAGCTGAAGTGGTAGAGGTTAACACCGTAAAGGAGTTTAAGCATGCGTGGGATATGCATAAGGCTATCCTAACTATAAGATAAGGCTAGGGACTAATTAAAGTATTTAAAAAAATGGGCAGACTAGATAGGCTGAATGGTTCTTATCTGCCGTCAAATTCTATGTTTCTATGTTTAAAGGGACACTATAGTCACCAGAACAACTGCAGCTTATTGAATTTGTTCTGGTGAGTAGAATCATTACCTTCAGGCTTTTTGCTGTAAACACTGTCTTTTCAATGAAAATGCAATGTTTACATTACAGCCTAGTGATAATTTCACTGGCCACTCCTCAGATAGCTGTTAGAGATCCTTCCTAGGTCATGGCTGCCCAAAATTCATCCAAACATTCAGTGTCTCCACCCTCTGCATTCAGAAACTAAACTTTCCTCATAGAGATTCATTGATTCAATTTATCTCTATGAGGAGATGCTGATTGGCCAGGGCTGTGTTTGAATCATGCTGGCTCTGCCCCTGATCTGCCTCTTTGTCTGTCTCAGCCAGTCTTATGGGGAAGCAATGTGATTGGATCAGGCTACCACTTCTGATGATGTCAGCACACTGCTTGTTTTTCTGAGTCTAACAGCATGCAGAGTTACAGCTTCAAACTTGAATACAGTAAGATTTTTACTATATTTATGGAGGCATGAGGGGCCCACGGGGGCTAGATGGTGGTTTTAACACTATAGGGTACATGTTTGTGTTCCTGACCTTATAGTGATCCTTTAAAGACAAATTGGATTGCTGCTTCCATATTATCTCCTTTACAATGGAATTTGACTATCACAAGATGCATTTTCTTGATGTGGCTATCCAGGTAAGCAAGGTATATTTGTCGTTTGATTTATATCAGAAACCTACTAACCAGGTCTCATATCTACATGCTGATTTTTTCCATCCCTCACATTTCATCAGACACTTGCCATATGGACAATTTATCAGGGCACGTCATATAGTGTCTGATGAAAATAAGTTTGGGGAAAGAGCAGATGGTACAAGCATTTTCTTCTACAGGGTATGATGCTGAGACATTGTTGGAATGTAGGAATAGAACTAAATTGCTCTCAAGAAAAACGTTGTTACAGAAAAAGATAAGAGATGAGAATAGGGGTATCTCTTGTGTGAGTGCTTATTCAACGCATTCTCAAGAAATTAAAAACACTGTGAACAAGCATTGGAAGATCTTACAATCTGACCCCAGCCCCCCAGGTATGTACCGTTGTGAGCACTGCATTCATTGTAATGGAGTAATCACTGGAGATCATTTTGTGCACCCTAGGACTGGTTGGAGATATGTGAACCGGGAGTACTGTAATTGTCAATCTCAATTTGTGATTTACATGTTGAAGTGCCTGTGTGGATTGGCGTGTGGGTGAGACCACACAGACATTTACCACTAGGATTAGAGAACACAAAAGTAGCATCAGGACCAACAAGGTTCAATATCCAGTGGCTAGACACTCCGTTGAAAAGAAACACACAGTATCACAATTGCAATACACGGTTCTTCAGGTAATAAAACCTCAGAAGGTTACCTTGTTGAAACAAAGGGAGCTATACTGGATATATGAGTTGCAAACATTGTGCACAAAGGGTCGCAACGAGGAAAGAGATTTATCTTCCTTTTTTGTAAATGGCCTTGTTGGAACTATTTTGATATCATATACACTCTGCTTTCATATATACTCTGCCTGCGTATGGTTTGTATCTTTGTTGATTTTATTGCACATTGCTTTTTAGATTTCAGTGCTACAGGAGTTGTTGGGACATTGATCTGGATGCTGGAAGACTGGATATGCACTTCAATTAACACTGGATGATGGGATCACATTGGGAATTTAAATTCTATTATGTAATATAATGAATTTGTGGACTAACGAAACAACGCATAATGATTGTGTCAGATATCTTATGCCTATAGGATTCGTTTATGTTATTTGATAACATTTGGTTGTTTATTTCATATATTATTGTATCAAAATTCAGGAATTTATGCGAGTTAGCATATGTTGCCATGGATAATGAGCATTTTGAGATGAGCAATTGTTTTGATCTATATATAGATTGAGACATGTGAGCTTTTGTGAATTTGAGTATGGGGCCACAGAAAATGAGCTTTCTCTTGATATTTTTGTTGTTAAGTTGTTTACTGTGGAGTGAATATCCTCCTTATGTATTACATGTTGACAACATGTCATTATTTTATTTTTTGATACAATTCTATAAGAATGGACAACTTTATTGACTATCCTTGTATTTTGATTTTATCATGCAATGCATATATCTAATTGTCCTTAATAACTTCTGTTGCACTGGGTGATATATAAATAAATGTATTTTGCAATTCTATATTGATGCGGTCATCGCGGGCGCGATATACGAATGAAGGACACATGTACCAGCCTAGCAATGTTATTGTGAATGCACGTGTGGAGATAATAACAAGCGTGGATATGGGGATGAGCTTCTACTATATCTTGACTTTGATAGATGTTTATATTAATATTGTTTTTGTTTGTGTTGTAGGACACATTATATTGTGAATGGGAGACTTTCTATTTTAATATTTTATGATTATGTACTGACACCGGAAGTGATGATGTCACTTCCAGTGTCAGTTACAATTGAACGCTGATGGCCATCATACAGACACTCTTGATAAAGACAGCCATTAGGTGCCAAAATGTGGGGAGATTGGTGGCTCGTTTCTCTGGCTTGAGACTTGTGAAACTTTGGTAATTACTGTAAGGTTTTCTGTTTGCTTTTTTTGTGGCTTTGTCCCTTTTTTGTATTGATTATTTAGTTTTTTTCTGTAAAGTTTTTTTTTATTAAGTGTGGCTATTATAGTGTGCATCCTGTATCTTGTATATATACATATATTAAAGTATTGTGGCATATTAGGGAGTGCCTGTGTAGTTTGCACTTAGCTGTTATATAACATATTTTGTTTCTCCATGTGGTTTTTGTCATTAACCCCTTAAGGACCAAACATCTGGAATAAAAGGGAATCATGACATGTCACACATGTCATGTGTCCTTAAGGGGTTAAAGCTGGAACATAGCATAACATAACATATAAATACTGTGTGTGTATATCAAATGCACACCGCTTTCATCCATAAAATAAAAATTGCATGTTCAATCCCTTTGGGGGCTAATGGGGGATAGATTAGCAAAGTAATATCACATCTAAACTGCATAGATAGGCATAGGTATCCTTACCTTGGACAGAACAGACATTATTTGTTTGGTATTTTTTAGATAAGAAGGCAACTCCTCATCAAAAGGTCTTAGGATTTTATCTATATGCATATTCCTATTCTATGCCACAATATTTCCTTGTGAGCTTTTCTGAATTTCATGTAGTACTGTGTAATCACTTTATATCTACTTTTCTTTATTATTATTATTATTTTTATTTTTTTAATAAAGGTCAAATTTAGAAGCTGAAACAGGTAAGCCACAGTATGTTACCTACTTTATTAAATAAAATATGTTTATGTATCAGGTCCTGTAGTGTGTATGGTGCTTGGAATGTTCCTTTAATATCCTTCCCTGAAGAATAACTGTCAGTCAGCATATTTGTTATGCATTGAAGGTCAGCCAAACCATCTCTAACTCAACATTGGTGTAAGTGGCACTAGCAGGTAACCTAAACCTAACCATGGTTTCTTTCACTCCTAGAAGGTATAGCAAGGGTAAAAGCAGGCAATTCATGATTACTGGTCTGTCTCCCTCAGTAGCTGAAACCAAATCCAAAGTCAAAGTGTCTTCTGAGAGAATCTTGCTAGGAAATATAGTATTTTTCCACCTCTCAATTTGACAGAAGATACAGCCCACATCATTAGGCAAACCTATTGTTCATCATGGCAAACAAAGTACTACCTTGAAAAATATTTTTTATTTTCTCCATTCTGCCCAAATTTTTTGGTTGTCAGAAATAGAACTCCAAATCATGAACATGCTTGTCCATTGAATGAATCATTTTTATGGTGATAGAGGTCATACGGTGCTTCGGCATTTCAAAAATTGGAAAATACGCTGATCTGCCTAAATTCGGCAAATTACAGTTTGAATGAAACAAAATGCATAAATCAAATACTTTTCCAGCATCCATGCTATTTAGCATGATTAATTATCTTAGTTTTAAAGATGATCTATCAATGTCAAAATCCTTTCGGTGTTGCTTTGCCTGGACCTGATTACTGATACACAAAAGTAGAAGGCTAAGCCTGTTGGCTAGAATACTTGCAAATATCATAATGTAACCATTACAAGTAGACATTAAAACAGAGAGATCAATCAATGGAGAGTACAACAGAAACAAAAAGTATAACACAGGAATAAACGGAGTCTCCTCCTTCCATAATACTTTTACAGTAGATAATCCACATGGCAATTGCCATGTTGTTGAGACAGCACGACCGCTATGGAACCCAGTAACGAAGGAATGTCAGGTGCCACAGCTGATGTGGGTTGACCTTTAGGACATTGCGTGTGTCCTGGGATGGGTGAATGGTCACCGTAGCTGCTGCGTTTGATGGGATTTGTGTCTTCCTTTGGAACCATATTCTTCTAACATTTGAGAGAGGAGCAGTGTCCATTCTTAAATGAGTTGAACAGGTAAGTTAGCCACAGCATATTACCTACTTTAAAAAAAAAATATATATATATATGTTTATGTAACAGGTCCTGTAGTGTGTATGGTGCTTGGAATGTTCCTTTAATGTACTTCCCTGAACTGCCAATCAGCATATCTGTTATGCCTTGAATATTAGTAAATATGATTTTAAATTTTTTTTTAGTTAATCTAGCTAAACTAGGAGGTCTCCGTGTTATTACATTTCAAATCCCAATGTGTGTATAGTGGTGGTGGGTGAAAAAAATACTGATTGAATTTGAACAGGTTACTCAATCAGATTGACGGATAAAATAAATATGCATACATGTATATATTTTTGCAGACTCTTTTATTATTTAAATTTTTAGTTTTTGCTTGTTCAAAAGAATGTTTTTTATTGAAAATTCATTTAAAATTTAGATCATGCAAACTAAAATATATTGATTTATTTCATTCAGATGTTAATCACTCTATATTTGTTTTCCTGCATTGTT